TGATCAAGTTAGGCTTCTCTTTTCTTTTTTTAAAAAAGCATTAAAATAGACATTCCTTGCTGTCTAAAGAAAGCTGTTGTCAAAATGAACATCTAAAGTGTTCATACTGATGTTTGACTGCGCTTCTCACCCCAAATATTTCCCCTCATGATTTTCCTTCACTCAATAAAACCTGATGCAATAAATAAAAATATAACGATTCAGCTGTCACTTATTCAATCTTTTATCATGCATATGTGGGCATGTTTTGTTTACTTCCTGAGCCAGACTATTTGCCTACAACTTCTCATTAATGATGTTTTGTAATTTTGTAATGGTATAGCAGAGCACAAAAAGTATCCTATAGATTGCTGATATGGTCCTCTGTGCCAGCACATAAGACTCTCCAGAACAGAATAAAGTGACAGAGATAGATATTTTAGAGCACACAAACAATACAAGCACCAGATCGGGGGAAAGTAAATTCATGTCATATCCTTCATAAGATTACTGACTTGTTTGAAATATGCAGCTGCATATCATGTCATATTTAGCAAACATATTGCCATTGCTGCCATACAATAATCATGATTTAAAGGAAAGGAGGTATTCCACAAGCTAATCACAATAATCTCATCCATGGCAACAACACTTGCACATTTTATACCTGTAGCGGCCAATACTAGTGCAAATCAGAAACCTATGGTAGCCTGTGGTAGCATGAATTGAATGTAGTACCCACTGAAGTAGGCTGTTACAGGCCTTTGTGAAAATGCAAAATAGCTTTCCTATTGTTGGTTCCTTTGGCTACCAGTAAGTGCAAGGACCCTCTCTTTCTATGTTCCTCAGCTCCCCTTCTGTTGGTAGCAAAAAATATTAGGATTCACTGGAGCTTGGAGAACTGCAAACACTGGTGACATGTTTGCATGTTTCCTAGGCTTAATTCATGCACCCACTTGCAAAATGACAAGTTGTCGTATTTCTGATTAAATCAAACCCAGTCAACCTGCATCTTCAAGGGAAAAGTTTATAGATGCATAAACCTGACTTGTAGTGATGACTGTTTCACTCACATGATAAGCCCACTGAGAACTAATGTTACATTGTTAGGCAAAATCTTGAGAATCAAGAAAGGGTCAGTGAAGTGGTAGATGCAAAGTATTAACATCTACAACTCCATTCATAATTCCTGTCTTTGAAACTGACTCCACATGGTGACCAAGACAGGGAAATATCTGTGTGTACTGGCTTGTCAAATGGATATGCTTCCAGAATATTGTTTGATAAATCTAATGGGGTGTCCATAGCACTGTCTAGTCCTGTCGTATTGGATGAGTTTCAGTTACTAAGGCTCGAGGATGCGGACAAGATGTTTGGATCCGTCAAGGTGGACCCTTACCCCTCTTGTTTTCCTCACTTACTGGGGTCTGGGAAGGTCATGGACCTCCATGGAAATATGATGCAGTTTCTGGACAGTCTTCAAGTCCCAAGTAGAGAACACTACAGTATCAAGTAATAATTATGCTCTGGAAGCTGATCTGTATGACAAGCCAACACACATAATATTTAAGCCACCACAAGGAGCCAGATTTGATCTATCATCATTGGCTGCCACTGTGCGAGAAGCAGTCCGTGGCTAAAAGTACTCAGGCATGATCAAAGCACACTCTCCATTGATGAAATGACAAGGCTGAAATGTATATGCCATGTGTCACTCATGGAATCTGAATAAAGTGGAAGCCAATAGTCCAGGTAGAATTCCCCATTCTCTCAACCACATGCTCACACCACTAATCTCCATAGAGAATAATTCAAACATCCACATCTGGGTGTAACAAAAACAGAGGGAAGAATTCACCAAGGTGCCTAATATCAGACATGCTTGAACAATTCAAGGGAAATTTTAGTACAATGTCTGAACTGATTTGTAAGATTACACCACTGCAAGAGGCTGAAATTTTCCAACTTTGTATACTTTTCTGGATGCATCCAGAAGTCATCCTGTTCACAAAATGTTTCAAAATGTCAAGTAAGATGCATCTAAGCCATTTAAAATGCAATTTCATTAGGAGTACAAAACTCACAATAAAAATGATCCAGCTTTATATATAAATTAAAGTTTGTTTGTTTTTTTTAAAAAAAATACAGACCAACTGATACAAAACATGCTGCCACTCATATCTGACACATTCATTTTTCTTTTTTTAAAAAATGGATAAAGCCATTGTGATGTACATCAATTATTTAAAATGAGCAGTCATTTTCTAAAATAAGAAATTGGTCTCAGTGATTAAAAGGAAAGCTGCAAAATTAGCTTGACAGAATTAATCATGCTACATGATTAGAGAGGAGCTGAATTTTTACTTAATAAATTCTTACTAAAGCACAGTTTAATGAAACACATACATGTTCAAATAATCCATAAGGAACTTGTGACCTCACCAAATCTTAAGGTTTAACTTCAAAAATTCCTCTAACAATACATTATATTTTAAAAAATAAGATATGTATTAATGCTGAAAGTAACTTGGGCTGGATCCTACACACATTTACTTGTGCCAGTGAAATAAGCAGGGTTACGTCACAAATAAATGTGGTCAGGATAGAGGTTACTCTGTGGGTGCTTCCAGATTGGGACCTTACATCATGAACCGGTTGCTCAGATTCATTTGAGTCTGTCTGGCATGGAATCATATAGAGTTGGAAGGGACCCTACCATGCAGGAATATGCAGCTGTCCCATACAGGGCTCAAACCTGCAACCCTTATGTTATCAGCACCATGCTGTAACCAAGACAGCTTCCACACATTCTCATTTTTTCAGTCATAGATATGTATTGTTAGCCTGCTACTTGCCATCCAGACCAGTGAGTGGAGTTTGATAGAATGTATCCGGAGGTATCTCCTCTCCCCTAAGTACCTCCTCTCCTACTCTCCTTTGCCTTGTTATTCCTGTTCTGGGCATGCACAGATGTATTTGTATTGTGTGCATGCACCTTAACAAAAAAATCCAGGACGTGTGCAAGAATAAATGTTACCAGCCTTATTTATCACGCTTCACAATGAGGAAGATGAGGAGGTCTTTTTGGGGGAGGGGTTAATAATAATAATACTGTTTACCTGACCAAGTCTTACACAAAAGTGTTAAGAGGTTTTGAAAATGTCCTCTGCATTATATAATTATTGCTAATTATTATTAATTAGTATTAATAATTTACTATTCTCATTCCAATGTATTATTATCATCACCCCAATGTATGCTGCATGATGATAGTCTCTGAGGTAATTCATCTGCATGTACTGTGTGAAGACCTTGACTTAACAGGCCTTCCGAATGGTTATTGAAATTCAAGCTTGCCTTCCCCATGTGGTAATGAGTGGAGCAAGGGACACTTGATTCATTTGGATTGTTGGAAACAACATGGGTATATTGTGCATTAAATACCACCCACTGAAACAACCCCACCAATGTGATACATAACCTCCTCCCCTCAAAAAATAATACTACAGTGGTACCTTGGTTCTCGAACTTAATTCATTCCGGAAGTCCATTTGATTTCCGAAATGTTTGAAAACCAAGGCGCGGCTTCTGATTGGTGCAGGTGCCCCGGAAACAATAGTCGACAGCAGATGTTCAGCTTCCAAAAAACATTTGAAAACCGGAACACTTACTTCCAGGTTTTCAGTGTTTGGAATCCTAGGCGTTTGGGAACCAAGGCGTTTGAGAATCAAACTGTAATCAGCTCCCAAAACAGCCTTGACTTCTTGGTAGTGGGGCCATCTCCCTTCAGATGTCAAAGAGAAATAACTACATAAGCTTTTAGAAGACATCTGAAGGCAGCCCTGTATTGGGAAGTTTGTAAGGCAGCCAGATGGGCGGGGTATTATTATTATTCTTATTATTATTATTATTATTTGCATATATCAAATTATTTTTACTTATTAGATTTTCTGTGGGAAGAAGACATCTGAATCAAATGTAAGTCAAAAAAAAACATAGGGTGGGTTGGCATTCTGATGTCATGGTCTGGATTCTACAAAAAAAAAAAAACTTGCATGCATGAGCAACACTGATTTCACAATAAACTGCCATCTGGAAGCACCCTATATCAGTGCAAATTCAGAAGTCCCAAAACTATTAAAAATAGTTATGTATATTATCCATAGCATCTGAAAAAGGGGCAAAAATCTAAACACAGTTCTTGGATTTACTACCAATTTGAATAAAAGTAATAGTTTTAAAAATAGGAATATAAGGAAGTCACAAGCTCCTCAATTATGCATGACATATTTTCTCCAAGTTGTAAAAATGTATATTCAAAGTAAGGCATAAAAACAGATGACATAATTTAGCTCAGAGTTATATATTACATATATTCACATAAATATTATTAAAACATAAATTATATGGATGCTTATGTTTCAAAAAGTGGTCATCCATCCACTTGTCGATCCAGTATAGAGTAAGTTCAACATTCTGAGTTTTAAAACTGGAATGTGTCCGAGTTACAAGGTATAAAATCATAATCAGTAGTAAATCCTTCATATATTGATCTAAATGCTTTTCCAGATGCTACCACCATAAGTTTGAAGAGTAAACATCTTCCAGAAAGGACATATAGAAAGAAATTTTCTAGACTTCTGACTTTGGACTGAAAGCAGGTTGTGCCACTTAAAACCCAGATCTATCTGTAGAAGGTTAATTGTTTCCCATTACAGATTTCGCTTTCTTCTTCATCCATAAAATTAACTGCAGTGAACTTCCAGGAGCAAAAAGGTGTCTTTTTTCAAGCTTGAATAAGAGGAGAAATAGTCACTTGTCCTGAAAGCTGGCTACAATTAAAAATATTGAAGACAAATTAAAAGTTGTATAAAGATGACAGCTCCAGTGCTCATTCACTACGAACTTCAATGACGTGTGCTAGACTATTAAAGACATCAGAATGGCTTTTCAGTTGGTTGCCCAGAGGGCTACGAGTATATCATCATGGCAGAATTAATGGCGAAAAGGACAATATTTACCTTTTCCAACTGGGCATTTTTTTTGGATTTGTACAAAAACTCCCCCACTGCCACAAAGACGGAGAGAACCAATCCTGCTGCCAGCACGATGAAGATGCCACCAATGTTTTGTACTCCAAGGGCACTTGCATCCTTGCTCTCCTCTTCCGGGCAACCGTTGCCTCGCCACCACTTCTCCTTCATCATGTGGAGCTTGCCTTCTTCTTGCAGGTGGAGAATTGCGATGGTTATTTTGTCTCTGTAGGGGGACCCTGCAAGAGGGAACACACCGGTTAATGAGTCACACTTCACAAAGGCTTCATCCTGTTTCATAGTTATAAGTGGGACCCTCTGACAAAATGTTGCTTTGGTATATTATTTATACCCCACCCATCTGGCTGGGTTTCCCCAGCCACTCTGGGCGGCTTCCAGCAAAACATTAAAACACAATAATTCATCAGATATTAAAAGCTTCCCTAAACAGGGCTGCCTTCATATGTCTTCTAAAAGTCAGATGGTTGTTAATTTCTTTGACATCTGATGGGAGGATGTTCCACAGGGCAGGCACCACTCTATTTCACCCCCATCCCCTAAAAACCCCTCCACAGTCAGCACTCAGTCACCACTGAGTATGGTCGGTCCTTGTTCTGTTGTGAGGGTTTGGGGGGGCAAGTGGGATAGGATGGACACAATAATGCCCAATACCAGCTGCATTAAACTCTTGAATTTCTGCATTGGTTTCTATAGGCAACTATCACTTGCGTACTGAGGCCCCGTGACCACCCTGCTCCCTAAAGTGCAAATAACTAGACAACACATGGCGTATTGGTTTTGGGATCAAAGGGCTAATGGCCATGCAAGCTGGGCATTTAAACTTCCCCTGGGCATGGCACCAAGGATACAATTGGTCGGATGGTCCTGCGACCAGGGGAATGCCCACTAACACCTGCTGCCATTGGCCCGGTTGTGGCAGGAAGACGATCTGGCCTGCAATAGGCTGGTATACCGGGGGGGCCTGGGGCCCGCTCACAAAGCCCCCCCCGTTCAGTAATGGATGAACGAACTTCCGTATCTGGGGACATTTAAAGATAAGTTTACAGTTTGAACTAGGAAATGGCCTATTTAGACACTGAGATTTTATCATTCCCCCTTTTTATATTTATGTGCCTCTCCCTCCTCCTATCCCAGATCAAACCTTTCCATTTCTATACGGTTTCCCATTTCTGCCCCCTCTCTAATGTGAATCGGTATTCTGTGGCCGATGGGCCACAAAATTTGGCTGTGGCTCTCTCTCTCACACACACACACATTCCCTTTAATCTGCTGAAAACTCTCTCATGAATGGGTGTTGTTTTGGCTACATAAATGTGACCATTTCAAGACTTGAGTATATAGATTTGAAACTTGCCTACGTAATACTTGGCACCAAGGGATACTATATTTTCATATAAATATTGCTACCCACTGTTTCTTTCTCTTCTTGACATGCGATATATCATAGGAATGGCATTCTTTGCCAATAAACTTGTAGGAGAACAGGTCTTAGAAACTCTTATCTGGAGCCTCAAGCACCCAGTAATGTGTAAAAAGAATGTCATCACTCTAAACTTCTCCCAATCCGACACTGTCGTCTGTCCTCCCCACCCCCTTGCCATAGAGACCCTGCACTTTCTCAATTGGATTTTTCCTTGATTTGTTTCTGTCTCACAGTGCAGTATGAGGAACTTGGGCTGGCTTAAAGGCATTTTGCTGCCTGAGACACAGAGAAGAGGGGATCTCCCACTATTTCATGTATAGAAGGTGACCAGACTGGCGGCTGGATCTTATTTCAACAGTGGTGACAAAAATAGCACCCTTCAATGAAATAAGGAGGGCAGGCTAGCTTAGGGGGCACGGAGCTGGCTGCACAGCACACACAGCTAAGTCCATTCACTACCTGCTGCCTTACTCTGCCTAATAGTCAGGTGTTCCCCTGTGTAGGTGGGTGCCCAAAGGCTTTTAAATTGTGGCCTCTGCAATTCTATCAGCAAAGAGCGTTCTGCTACCTCAAGTCAGCATGCAATGCCAATCTTCCAGCCCACCTCTTCCCATCTGACTAGTCTTGAAAGACCATTTATTATGTAGAGGGTTTGTTCTTAATTTTAATGAGATATTGTTGTTGAGGGCTTTTGGGCAGCAGTGCCCTGAGAGTCGGCATTTTTACAAATTATATGAATTAATAATGTGAGCAAAGAAGGGTTTTATTTTTGGCAAAGCGTAATCACTGACATAAGCACTTTTCATGCTGAGACTTTGTATGGAAGCAGCAATATTTGCTTAAAAACCCGTCATGTGACAGCAGGGCAGCAAGTATGCAGAGAGGTGGTCATCAGCAGCCTCTAGTCACTCTGTAAAACCCAGCACTACCTACTCTCTATAAGCATTCAGGAACCCAGAGCACTTGTAACATTGTGAATGGAAGCTAAAGGTGGCTGTCTAGGGCAGGCATAGGCAAACTCAACCCTCCAGATGTTTTGGGACTACAACTCCCATCATCCCTGATGACTGGTCCTGTTGGCTAGGGATGATGAGAGTTGTAGTCCCAAAACATCTGGAGGGCCGAGTTTGCCTATGCCTGGTCTAGAGGTTACAACTGCTACACGGGTTCATGTTTTGTCCCATGTTTAGGGAGAAAATGTGAAGTTCTACACTTAGGCAGGAAGAACAAATATGCAGCTGCACAAATATGAGATGGGAGATGCCTGGCTTTCCAGTAGCACATGGGGAAAGGATCTAGGGGTCTTAGTAGATCACAAGTTTAACCTGAGTCAACAGTGTGGTGCAGCACTTTGGGTTCAGTCAGTCAACCAGCTACAAATCTAACAGTTACCTCATGCAGCCCACCTTTTACCAGCTTCTCTACAAGAATATCATGGGGGCCCTTGTCCAAAGCCTTACTGAATCAAGATACCCTACATCCACAGCATTCCCCTGACCCACCAGGCTTGTAACTCCATCAGAAAAGAAACAAGATTCGTCTGGCATGACTTGTTTTTGAGAAACTCACCACCCTGAAGCCAACACCAATTAATTAGATCATATACACCTTAATCCAAAAATTATTCTAAGAGCCGCTGAGATGAGTCAGTAACTAGTGTGCAGCACATTTAGCGCAAACATAGCATAACTGGCACACTCATGTCCATAGTAAGATCTAATGCCAAGCCATCTCTTCCCACACATGAACATGTGGTACTTTGACATAATCGCAGTATATACGCCAATATCTTTTCTAACTAGCTGCATCTCTCTAAGGATTCATACATATGTTTTTTGAAGGTCTTCTAAGAACAATCTGCTGAATTAGGCCAATGGCCTGTCTAATTCAGCAACCTTTGCTCATAGTAGCCATCCACACGCCTGTGGAAAGCCTGCAAGGAGGACATGAGCCCTCAAGAAGGACATGAGCACTCTGTCCACTTGCAATTTCAGCAACTGGTATTCAGAGGCATACTCCTGCTTTAACTCTGAGAGACTAAGGATTGAACTCTGGACCTTTTACCTGCAAGACAGCTATGAGCTTGGAGAAGGACACAGTACAAGGGCATTTCTATTAGATTTTGTAGGGGTAGGGAACAGATGTTTTTACCCCCATCCGAACAACAGGTAAAAGGTATAAGATCTATGCTCTGTCCACAGGCTTTTCAGGCACAAAATCACATTTCTCGAATCACACACGTACACAAAGCATAATCCAGTGATAGGCAGTAGATACTAACAGAAGCCCCTTATTAGAATTATTTGCAAGGGTTGGCAGTTTTTCCATGGAATATTTGAAAGATCTTGCAGAAACATTTCTAGAAATAATCTAGTAATGCAACAACATAGAAAGATTTGCAATGCCATCAAATTTTCCCTAAAGTGAAAAACAAATTAAACTAGGATAGATATAACTTGACGTTATAAGAGTAGTGAAATGTTTTAGGGAGGTTTTTGCACATATCTAATGAGAGATATACCTACTGATGTATAACTAAGTGTCTCTTTCCTGCTCTGCATTTACTGATCTATTTTTAGGCATGTTCATGCTGATAGGAAACATGTTTTCTATGTTTGCAAAAGTCATAGCACACGCGATAAATAAGAATCAAAATGATGATAATCATGTAATTAGAGTCTAGCTAGCCAAGATTCTGACACAGAAGAACCAAATGGATCAGGAAGACCAGTGTGCAAACCTTGGGAGGTGCTGGATCTAGACCCAAGCTCTGGCTCAGAGTCAGACAGGAACCCTGCCAGCCAAGTGCCTCTTTAGCAGGAGCTCCAGAATCTGGGACTCCCAGAGACAACACCCCAAGTCTGAAAGATGCCATTACACCATAAGTCTTATGCTTTCTGTTTCTGGTGCCTTTTCACCAACACTGGCAGCGCTTAAGATGGGTGGTAGAAAGGCAATGGCGCCAGAGGGCATGTTTCAACTAAATTGTTGCATGTGCAGAATGAGGTTTGCTTGTACAATAGAATTGGCTTCCCCTCTCATTCACCCATGTACCCCACATCCTAAATCTGCTCTGGAGGATGGGGGGAAACCCAAGAGCAGGTTGGGGAGCATGTGGAGGGAGGAGGTGAGGAAAGACCTGCTATGCAAGCAAACCTCATTACCCACATAAATACCCCACTTACAGCTATGCTGAAGTCCACCTAGAAGCTCTAGGCTACATGACTATTCCTTCCAAGTTATCAATGAATGGAGCAGAGCCTGGAAGGGTTAGTTTGGTTCACGATGGAGTAGGCCTCAGTTGAGGTCCAGACCTCAGCCTCTTCAGGCATTCCTTTCACCACGGAGTTAAGACTGCGGGGGGGAGCAAGTGGCAGTGAGAGCACTAACCTTGCTTCTTTTCAGTAGTTCAAAGGGGACTGATGCAAGGCCACTATAGGCTCTTGTGCCCTTTTGTACCTTGGAAAAAGCATGAAGGCACAAATAGGGGATTGGGGTGGGAAAGAGAATTAAGTTTGGCTTTCAATGTAGACCGACCTAATTTGTGCTTCCTGAAACACTAAGTAAACTGAAGCACTGCTAACGTCTGAAATTCACACTACTCTCAATTTTGTGATGCAATTTTCCAACCAAATAATGTGTATAGAAACAGGTATAATAGCGGAAAGCATGCACAAATGTGTATTTGTTAAAATAACGTACAAAAGTGCATTATATTAGTGGAAATGGCATAAAGAAAAACATGGCTATTAGGTGAAGATCATACTAAACGCTGACAAATTTTCCCAAGAGCAG